CTTCAGTCTCTTCAAGAAGCGACGACAGGCATCCTCACCCTTACTATCAATAATGTCCAACAGGTGCCTTGCACAGTCTTGAGGTGTTTGGTAACTCTTCACCAAGTAGTATTCTTCCTTGGTGACAATTTTCTTTGAATAAATTGAATCTAATATTTGATTGATCTGGGTTATGTTCATGTCTTGAACAAGCATGGGGCGGTGCCCACGCAAGATGTCTTTGCTTGGAGAATCCTGCATGGTGGAGGGCTCCAGACACCACTATAGATGTCTATTTGTTGCTGAAAAATGATTCAATAACATTAATTTCATCAACTGAGCTCATGTAGGCAGTATTAGTTGAAGGTCTAAGGACACAGTATTTTTAAAAAGTAGTCCGGGCACAAGTAGTGCAGCATAGTACTGCGAGATTCTTTCATGCAGGGCAGCGAGATGAAAACTTTATAGAGGAATGCATCGGGTTTGAGACCGTATAATTTGAATTAGGATCCGGTTTACCACCTGGTGCTGTGTCGGCTGCAGTTCACATGGCTCCCGCAAAGCGTCATATAATAAAGTGTTTTTATAGGAAAACGAGCTGGAACATATTTGAATATTACAAGGTCCTACAAATTATACATTGTCGTATTTACTCTTGAACTTGGCGTTATGAAGTAAAAGTACGTGATACAAGACGTCTTTGAGAATAAACGCACCAGAAAACGTAAAAGAATTCACGTTTAAGAGCCCTTAAAAACACCATCTTGGGGAGGTGTGATTTTTATCGCCCTCCAGACTCTTGCAAAAACTTAATGAACGAACTGAGAAATGAATAATTACAGCAAGGACATTATACACAGAATAATGTCCTTGGTTACAGGCATTGACATTTACCATTGAACTTGAATATCCCGCGGTAAACTCAGTGCCTTTTAGAGAAGTCGCTACTCCTCAATTTCCACACGGTTTTGCAATGGAACTCACACACTGTGACAATTGGAGCGTGTAAATATTTGTGTATGCATAGGACTCACCTCAAGTCTTCATGCGTCCCTAAACTTCCCTGCTACCGCGAGCGGGGAGTTACAGTGTATACCGGTAGCTGGAAACTATACACCTACGAGAAGTAAAGTAGGATAAACGGTATGGAAAAGGTCCGATAGACATACTAAAGTAACCCCCGGCCGCGCCCCGCACTGAAAAAATATGGTGAAGTTGGTCCCGCGCAAGCTAGTAAGGGGATTCCCCGATCCTCTTTCTCATGTAGCGCATGCGTGCTTACACCAACACCTTCGAATAATTAGAGTGTGGGGTCCCCCGTGAATATCACTTAAGTACATAGAAGAACAGAGCTATGTAAGCGTGCCAAACATTATTTCACGACAATTGCACATGGTACAATGTATGGCAAACTACATAAAGAGAGTAACAAACAATAAAATAAATGTGTTGAATCAAGGAGCTCTTCATGAAAGCTCCTTGGTTGAATAAGACCTAATATAATTTATTTAATATAATTTATTTATTTCTACTTCATATATAAAAGCCTGATCTCGAAGCAAATCTTTTAGTGGCTGCAATACACTATCATTGGCAAGACAGTATCAAGTTGGCAATACAGTGTCCAATACGCCACACATTAGGCTGGTAAACAAAAAAGATGTCAAGGAGAGACCGATAAAACGCATAAAACATGCCGAAAATAAGCTGAAACCTCTGTTTGGAGAGAACTTTTAAAGACATTTAATAAACAGACACTAGCTCTTTCAAATTTGCTGGAAGTTCCTTCTTCTATACATTTCAACCCCTTTCTGGTTTTTAGCTTCAAATGGAGGAAACTGTAAGTCTCAACTGGCAAGGTACAACAAAGACATGAGAATTTGTATGAAGTATATTTATTTGCATTGTGCCGAAAGATCATTAAAACGCTTGCAACAAAAGAGTAGCGTAGAAGTTGATGTAAAGAAAAAGCCACAAAGAATTATTAGAAAACAGTAAACACAATATCAACTACAATTAGAAAGTATTCGACAATATCTTTGAGAAAACTTTCCTTCAGTTCAACTAAAAATCGATCATTCCAATAATACTAAAAGGAAAAGAAAGTAATATAATATTGATATACATAAGATTGTACAGATTAAAATAAATGACAACTACTACCGCTAAACTTGAAGTTTGCTATAACATTAAATGATAGTACATACATTCATATCTGGCCAATTTGGGGCCTCCTTACTGCATTATAACCAACTCTTTGCCTCTTCATTTTCTATTAGTATTA